CAAGAAAATCAAAATCTTCCCTTTACCCCACTCCTTCCTTAGCTACAAGTTTCTCTGTTCCTCTTCACAGCAAAACTTCTTGAAATATTTATAGTTGTTATTTCCATCACTTCTTCATCTCACATTTCTCAACTCACTTCAGTCAGTCACCAATGACCTCCATGTTGCTAAATCCATTGGTCACTTCTGTGTTCCTTGACCTCTCAATAGCATTGGGCACCACTGACTGCTGGTCTTCCTTAAAACACTTTCTTTGGCTCCTGACACCCCTCTCAGCAGGTCTCCATGGCTGTCCCTTCTCAGTCTCTTGTATTGGTTTTTCTCTTCTTGACCTATCTCCCCAGGGCTCTGTCCTCAGACAACTTCTCCATCTATTTACTCTCCTAAGTGACCTTATCAAATTCCAAGACTTCATCTCATATCATTTTCTCCTCATCTGTGCTTCAGTCATGCTGGTAGCCTCTCTGTTCCTGAACATACTAAATGCATTCTCAAGAGCCTTAGGGACTTCACATTAGCTGTTCCCTCAGCCTAGAAAGCTCTTCCCCATGATCTTCATATGGCTGCCCCGTTTCTTTCATTCACCAGCAGCTTAAGCCTCACCGCTTTGGAGATGCTTTCCGTGGCACCCAACTAAGTAGCTCCCAATTACATCATCCTATTTTCATCTTCTCCAAAGCACATCACCATCTGTGTCCCCCACTGGAATGTAAGCTCCATTGAAGTAACAACAGCCAAACCTCCCTGTCCTCAAGGAGCTGCTAGTCTGGTGGGTGAAGTCAAATAAAATAAAAAGGTAAATTATATAACATATGAGACTATGATAAGTGGTAGAGAGAAATAAAGCCAGGGAGAGTGATAGGGATTGTGTATGTGTGTTTTGGGAGGGTGTCTGCAACTTTAAATACGGTGGCCAGGAAGGGCCTCACTGGAACTGATATTTGAGTCGACTTTAAGAAGGCAAACAAAACACCAAATGTAAAGGTTCTGAGGTGGGAGTGTGACAAGCATGTCCTAAGAATACCAAGAAGCCCATAGTGGTTGCTGCAGAATAGGGAGGACGAATGTAGCAGGAAATGAAGTCAAGAGATCCAGGTGGGGTCAGATCACGAAGTGCTCTTGTAAGCTCTTGGATCTTTACTCAAAGAATGAACAAAAGCTAATGGAAAGTTTTAGGAGAGGAGTAACATTGTTTGAATTATGTTTTGTCATGATCTCTCTGGCTGCTGTGTGAAAAAAGATTGCAGGGGGGCAAGGGCAAAGGCAGGAGACCAATTAGGAGGTTATTGCAATAATCCAAGGAAGAGAGGTGGGACTCCAAATATTTATGATCTTCTCTGCATCTAGAAGGGTCCCGTGAGGCAAATCCGACAAAGCCTGTTGTATACTCGTATTCCTTATCACTATGTCTTGTGATGGCAGGCATATATTACTATCGGTTGATTTTAAATGATATAAAAAACATACTGGGCTCATTGAACAAAACAGGGATCAATGACGGTGTATTTCTAAGAATAGGTTCTCTGGTTTTGTGGATATTTTAATCTACAATTACTTCCCTAACACTGGATTTCTGGCCCTTTTACTCAGTCCTATTTGCACCTAAATACCACTTACTTTGCAAAAGAGAGGCACTAAACGCTGGGGAAACTGTGAAGACATTCAACTGCTCCTCACTTTATCAGTAACCTATTATTTCGACCTAATATTTAGAGTGTCTACTTCATGCAAAGAATTACACTAGGCATTGGGGGATATGTTAAGTCCCTCCTCTCAACTTACAATCGAGTTAGATAAACACAACACACAGAAAGACAAGTACAAATCCAAGGTAGTGTACGTCAAAGGTTAAATGCAGCTATTTAAGTTGGATCCTGAAGAGTGAATCAAACTTGGAAAATAAATAGGGGGAAAAGGAGAGAAAGTAATAAGTGAATCAGAACGTGGGTTCGCTGGTATGGTATGTGTAATAAATTCCTCAATTTAAATAAAAAATAATAAAAACAAAAGCTACAGAGTTTGAGAAAGCCCATACCAGTGACACCAAAACATGTCTTTCAAAACAAACGTGGGTAAAAATCAAGTAGGGACAAACAGGAAGATGAGAACTTGGTGGTCCCTAACAGAAAGCCAACTGTTCAAGGTAGCTTACATAAATTTGTATTTCTCTCGTTTTTATACTCAATAGGTCAAACTAGCAGTCAATGTGCGCCCTTGACTGACAAGTCGGGTATTTATTGAACATCCAATATGCTCAAAATTGTGATCCGTCTTTTCATTTTTTCCTAGGGAAGTGTATAACTTAGTGAGAAAACAGCCACACACAAAATAATTGGCGAACAATCGACAGTGGCTGCAAGTCCAAGTTAGAATGACTAGATGGGGCCTTGGGGCTGGGCACTGAACCCATTTCCCCAGCACGCTACTTACACCCAAAGGCGAGGCAAAAAGGGGGCGCCTCCAAGTCGGGTTATCTTTTGTGGCACTGTTCGGATCTGATCCATGTGGACGAGGAAGCAAACCCTGAGAAATCCCTGGCACTGACCCCACCGACCCGAGCGACCAGGGCAGCCCAGAGACGGTGTCTCTGTCCGCGTGGGCCCCTCGCGCCGCCGCCGGGTCAGGGGGCCTGTGCGGTGATACGCCGGCCCTGAGGGGTCCCTGCTCTAAGCGCGCGCCCTCCTGGACTCGCAGCAGGGACACCTGGCGGGCGGAGACACGCTGGCGAGGGAGCACAAGGCTTCCCCTTCTTCCTTCCCATTTCCCTCCCCCCACCCCGACGACAGGGCCGAGGCAGCCGGGACCGCCCAAGAATTTTTTTAAACACACTCTCTGCCCTCATCCCTGTCTGTTCGTCCCGCAGCAAGCCGGCGCGGTCGAAGTCCCCAGAGGCCGCCAGGAGGCCGAGCTGGGCGGCGGCCAGGGGCCGGCCGGGTCCCAAGTTCCCCCGACCCCCGAACACGCCCCACACGCAGACACGGGGCCAACGGGTACGCCCGGAGGCGCGACCGGGAAATGGAGGCGGACTGACTCCTCTCGCTTCCCGTAGGCCCGCACTGACGCCGGCCGGGATCCCGGACGACGCGCCGCGGCGGACAAACAGCCTCCTGCGTGCAGCGCCTGCGACGCCAGTCTCGGGGTGAGTCGGGCGACGGCGGTCTTCTCGGGGGGCGCTGGCTGCTGGGCTGTGCGCGCCAGCCGAGGAGGGGATGTGGACATCGCTGGCCCCAAGTCAGAGTCTGATGGGTGGGACAGTCTCCGGTCACCTTGTCCCACAGGTCGTCACTGCGGCCGAGTCGGGGCTGCGTGGCGGGGAAGCTGCCCGTGCGAGCGGGGCGCTCCGGGACCGAGCCGTTATGGGGAGTCGGCTGGCGTCCGGCTGTTGGCACTGGGGGGACCCCGCTGCAAACCCACCCCACCGGGGCTGCCTTGTCACCGGCTCCCTTCCAGCCCAGGGCCGAGCGCCACCTTCACAGCGAGCGATCTGGGGACGTTTCCTTCCCGATATTTTAGACAGGTTTTTTAAATTTAATGACAGACCTCCGTTGCGCTCCCGGGCTCTGAACACGCCCTTTTTAGAGATGCCGAGTCACCGGCTGCAGTGGTAAACATTAGGAAACGCAAGTCATCTGAATTCCTTTGATTGTCCATAAAACATAGTGGTGGCTTCTTGTGAAACGAATTAAGTGTTAATAACAACAGGGCTTGTCCCTGTGGATATCTCGGGGAATAACTGGTTTCATGCGAGCCTGTGCCTTAAATTGGGTCGCTCTCTGGTCACGATGTAAATTATGAATGCGACTGTGGCAACTCTGCGTCCTTTCTATTTGTTCTTGTTTGTACTTCCTGAATTTTATGGAACAGAAGAGTTTTGACTAACGTGTAAGTTAATGACATAGATTGGGGTTACATTTAGGTGGTAAACCAAGAGGTATGCAGTTTGTGTCCTTAGTAGAGACAAAGTAATAGATGTAGTCAGTGCGTGTTGTTGTACAGTATAATGACAGAACTGGCGGCAGTAAAATGTAGGCAGGTATAGTTTCGTTTCTCTTTTAGTTCTGCTTAAAATCATCAAGTCTTACTTGGAGCTATTAAATGTACTAATGTTACTTTTATCTTTAAAACTGTGGCTGATGCTCCCCTCCACTACTTTTTTTTTTAGCCACAGAGAAAACTGCAACATTAATATTCAAGGGATTGGATTTTTTTTTCCTTCGACTTGTTTAATTTGGAGGAGGAAGAGCAGTCCCTTCTAGTAATAATAATAATAGCTCAAACTTATAAAGCATTTACTATTCCATTGTTTTGTTAATTCATTTAATCCTAAGAACAAACCTGTGAGGTGAATGCTATTGTTATTCCCATTATACCAATGGGAAAAGTTAAATGAATATCTCTGATAGTTGTACAGGAGTATTTACTATTATTTTATTTTAGTATTTTTAGTAATTTCCATGTTAGAAATTTTCTACTGATGTATTTTGTGTGTGTGTGTGTGTGAGGAAGATCAGCCCTGAGCTAACATCCATGCTAATCCTCTTTTTTTGCTGAGGAAGACCGGCTCTGAGCTAACATCTATTGCCAATCCTCCTCCTTTTTTTTTCCTCCCCAAAGCCCCAGTAGATAGTTGTATGTCATAGTTGCACATCCTTCTAGTTGCTGTATGTGGGACGCAGCCTCAGCATGGCCGGACAAGCGGTGCATTGGTGCGTGCCTGGGATCTGAACCCGGGCCGCCAGTAGCAGAGCGCGTGCACTTAACTGCTAAGCCACGGGGCCAGCCCTGATGTATTTTTAAATCAATATTTCCTGCACTTATAATCCAAAATTATTTAGTCTATAAGTCCGCTAGGTAAGAATTGGGATCAGTTCTTTGATTATAATAGCATCCTGTTATTTGGTAAATGTCAGTAAAATAATTTATAATGTAAATTTGGAAGTAGTTATGAAGAAAAATGATACATGCTTATTTTTCTTTCCCTCTATTTTGGTTTTACACAGGGCAGGTGCCTCACTTTCGATCTGGGAAGCCTTTAAATAAAACTCGCTGAAAATCTTAGAGCATACACAGAAGAGAGACCCCAATCAAAAATAAGGTGGAAAAGAAGGATGTTGTCCTTAAACAACCTACAGAATGTCATCTATAACCCGGTAACTGATTTCTATAAAATCACTTTTTACCTGTGGCAGGATTGAGAGCAGACCCAGTTGGATAGTAGTTATCCATTGCTGGGGGCAGGGACTGTGGTGGGTGCTGACTAGAAAACCCATAGGGCCCTTGAAGCTCTAGTCTAGTGGAGGACGAGGTCACAATTACCACATGAGGTGATGAGAAGGGTGTTATGAATGGAGAGCAGGGGAGTAAGTGGAGGGAATGCCGACTTTGATGGTGGTGGGGAGGCTTGGATAATCATAACACATAATTTTCAAAGGAAAATGGATTTCTTACTCTACAAGTTTTTAATTTTCTTTTTTAATTAGACCTGTTCATGAGAAGTTAATGTCTCTGCTTTTCCCTCTGCCTTGCAGATACTGCTTGATACTTGAGCAGGGAAAATGTCAGAGGCTAGCAGTGAGATGGAGAATGAGAAAAATTAAGGGTCTTGTCTGGGTCTCAGGCTGGTCCAAGAACCCCTGAATGACTGTAATTGCTGGGAATTTCGGTGTATGTCCTGCGAAGTAGCGAACTTGTTTTAGTTTTATGTGGTGATGAGAGTCTTCAGAAATGTCTAGTTCCCCGGGTATCTGAAGCCGAATCCTGAATTTAGAGACAGAGTTGCTGCTGCTTTTGTAAACCCTCTGGGAGACTCTTGGGCAATAGGGAGGGTGGAGTCTTTGAAGTAAGACCCTAAACCAGTCTTATTAGTCTTTGTGGATTCAATTTTTTATTACTTTGTAGCTGTAATTCTTTTTTCCCTAAATTTTAATGTCATTGTCCAAGAATGAGGTATAGCCACCACATCAAGCAAACTCAGTTTCGAAGAGATAGCCTTCAATAGTAGTAGGTTTAAAAAGGAAGACTTACTGAATTTGAAGTCAATGAGACATTTTATTTATTTATTTATTTTTTGTGTGTGTGAGGAAGATCAGCCCTGAGCTAACATCCATGCTAATCCTCTTCTTTTTGCTGAGGAAGACCGGCTCTGAGCTAACATCTATTGCCAATCCTCCTCCTTTTTTCTCCCCAAAGCCCCAGTAGATAGTTGTATGTCATAGTTGCACATCCTTCTAGTTGCTGTATGTGGGACGCAGCCTCAGCATGGCCGGAGAAGCGGTGTGTTGGTGTGCGCCCGGGATCCGAACCTGGGCCGCCAGTAGCGGAGCGCGCGCACCCAACCGCTAAGCCACGGGGCCAGCTCAATGAGACATTTTAAATGATTTTGTGCATCTTAAAGTCAAAAACATCTCAAAGTTGTAGACTGACTTTCTGCAAAGATTAAAAAAATAATAATAATTGGCTGCCTGCCAAGGGGGACTGATGTGTAATCTTGTCTCAAGCCAGGAGGAGGAACAGATGGTCGAGTTATGCTGTTCAGTTTTGCCCTTCATGCACACAGCTGCCTTATTTGAATGTTATTTAGAAAATCATTTTATAGATTGAAATCCCTGCATGTCTTGATGCTAGCTTTCTGATGATACTTGTAATTTCTGGGGTTAGCACCCTCAACAATAGAGTTGAAACAAAATAAGTTGATGTTCATTTCCTGATGAAGAGGGCCTGAAGAAGTGGTGCTGCTTTAGAGCAGTAAATGCATTCAGGGCTCCCAAATGGCCTCAGGGCTGTTGCGAGGATAGTTCATGATAATGTGTTTTCAAAGGAAAATAATTTGGCAAATAGCTTTTTTTTTTGTTTGTTTCTCTGTTTCATAGTCAGTTCTCACAAGCAGAAAAGGTTAGAGGTAGAAAGACTGAACTGAATGGCAAAATAACATTTTGATATGTCTTTAAATTGTTGTTGAATATTCATTATTGTTAAATATTCATAGTGTTGGGTGCCCGAATTGCTCTTAAGCTCTTCTCTCATTTGTAGCTAGTTGCCCTTCCAGTGTTCAGAAGACAATGGGAAAAAAAAAAAGAGGCTGCCCCTAACTAAGTTTAAGTTAATCAATTAGGTTATTGTACAAGCAAGACTTATACCTCTTTTCTCCCATTATGGTTATTTTGTTAGTGATCGGTTCAAACAATGGCGAAGTGTTTATTGAGTTTCTCCTATATTCTTTATTCAGCATTATGAACACACAGAACTGCCACCTTTTTATTTTTATTTCTTAATGTTTCTAAAGTTTTGGTCCACATTGGTGATAGACAGATTCTGTCCATATTAACTCTTCTTGGAAAAGATAAAGTTGTATAACTGGCCTAGTGTACTTTTTTCATATTTAATATATTTTGTTGAGTAGTTTAATTGATAGAATATCCCAGACTTAAAAAAGTCAGACTCACTTTTTTTTAACGTTCAAATTGAGTGAATAATTTGGAAGACAGTATCTTCACTTCATACCAGAAATGCCCTCAGTGAAATCTGTTGTTTGGCAACTCAATATCTACCTAAATATTTTATTATTATTGTTTATAGAGTTCTTAAGATGTGATTAAGTATCAGCTAAGAAGTTATTTAAAAATTAAACAGATTGGGGGCCGGCCCGGTGGTGTAGTGGTTAAGTTTGCGCACTCCACTTCAGCGGCCCGGGATTCACAGGTTCAGATCCTTGGCACGGACCTACACACCGCTTATCAAGCCATGCTGTGGCGGCGTCCCATATAAAGCAGAGGAAGATGGGCACGGATGTTAGCCCAGAGCCAGTCTTCCTCAGCAAAAAGAGGAGGATTGGCAACAGATGTTAGCTCAGGGCTAGTATTCCTTAACCCCCACCCCAAAATAAAATAAAAATAAACAGATTGGTTGTTCCTCCGAGTTAATAAACCACTTGTTAACATTAATCTCACCTGCTGCTGAAAAGCTCATCGTTCCGGTTTCCTTAGGAAGCTTGCTTCCACATTATCCTTTTCTCCTTAACATTCTAAGGACCTCCTTTCTACCTTACAATTTAATCTTAAAACACAAAACAGTAAAATCTTTCTCTTCTAACCTCTGACGTCCCTCCCAGCTTTTGTTCCCTCGTTGTTCGTCCTTTTGCTGACCACCCTCCTGAGAAGTCGGTCTCTGCCGCCTTGATTTCCTCACCTGGCTCTGCCTTCTGATTTTTCACTCTTAATTTCTTTCTTGTCTTTACCAATCTTGTCTTTAACTTCTCTCTTTATTTCTTTCATGTCTCTACTGATCGCCTTTAGACCTTCTGAATATGTGTACACTATGTATACAGTTCTGGCCTTTCACCGCAGGTGAGTCTCCGGCTCTCTTAGATGCCCTGCTAACCCTTCAAGACAGAGTTCAAAACTGAACCCTCATCTTCTTTCCCGAACCAGCTTCCCTCCTGTGGTTTTCGCTTTCCATCAGTGCCCTTCTGTTGGTTAACTTTTGCCTCCTCCTATGCACCAAGCCCCCAAGAATTTGAAGATAATGTCTTCAAAATTTAAAATTCATTTATGTCAAACCCAGTGGCTTTTCCTTTTTATTATTTTTAAAATATAAAAATAATATGTGTAAATCATTTAAAAAATTCAAACAGTATTTAAGGGTTTCAATAAACATGAATTTTCCTTCTATCCTGTTGCTCAGTTCTCCTCCCTAAAGGCAATGATTTTTCACTAGTTTTTTGTATATCCTTCCTGAGAATATATGTGAATATCCAAGAGTGTGTGTTGCGTGTATCACCTTTTGTATATCCTGTTTCTTTATGCATGTATCATAGTATATAAACTGTTCTGTAACCTGCTTTATCCCATTTAATGAATTTTGGAGATATCAGCACATTTAGAACTTCCTCACTTATTTTATGGCTGCTTATCCATTGTATGGATGCACTATAACTTATTTAACTAATGCCCTGTTAAAAGACTGTTTCCTTTTGTGATTGTATCCACTGCTGTGGTGTACATCCTTGCATATGCATCTTTGTGCACATATGCCAGTATTTTATAGGAAAAATCTGTGAAAGTGGAATCACTGGGTCAAAGGGTATGATATCCATTTCATTATTTTTTTGGATCTTCCTTATTTTTCTGTGTTAAAGAAATTAACAGCCCTCCCCTTATTGAAATTGACTTCCTTGATACGACTGCCCTGCTCTAACTGATTCTTCTCTGTTCTTTCTCTTCTCACCCTCTGTGTCCAGGTCTCCAACACAGCCCCAGTTTTGGTGATTCACCAGCATGGAGTCATACTTATGGTTATGATTTATTTCAGTGAAAGGCTATGGAGCAAAATTGCAAAGGGAAAGGGCATGTGGGGCAAAGTCCAGGGGAAACTAGGTGCAAGGTTCCAAGGGTCCTCTCCCAGCAGAGTCACAGAAGATGTGCTTAAATCCTCCAGCAGCAATTTGTGACAACACGTGTGAAATGTTGTCTACCAGGGAAGCTCAGTAGAGACTCGCTGCCTAGGGTTTTTACTAGGAGCTGGTCATGTGCACAGCTTCTGCCTAACACGTTCTAAAACTCCAGACTCCCAAGAGGAGAGCAAGTGTTTAACATAAACCAATTGTTTGCACAAACAGTTTAGGTACAGTAAATCACCTTTATCAGTTAGGGAAGGGTGCTCTCCCAAAATCCAAGTTCCTAGGGCCGGCTCCGTGGCTTAGCGGTTAAGTGTGCGCGCTCTGATGCTGGCGGCCCGGGTTCGGATCCCGGGAGCGCCCCGAGGCACCACTTC